ATTGCGAATCAAATTTTTGTTCTCAAACTGTAAATAGAAAAAAAGCGGTTGTTTATAAAATAAATCACAAGAAAATTGTATGGCCATAAATATTATTTACTATCGCGTAAGGCGCGATTACATTGATTACATGGAGAGTGCGAAAATTATTGTATCCATTTTTACCTCTTCGAGCGCAATAAATATTTATCCGGACAACGCAGCATATATGTAATAATTATACATGGAAATTGGATTGGACTTGCATACATCAAATTTCGATCTTCGATTAATTAAATGCATTGAATTTTCGATTTTGAAAATTAACAAGACATTAAGCATAGTAATCCATTGCCTTTGTTTATTTATTAATAACGTCTTCGAAAAAAGAGAATTAGAAACAGTAAATTAACTATACATACTTAGATATTATATAGTATATAAAACGTAAAAAACGAACAAAATGTACATAGATCAAATATTTTAATGTTAAGTAAAGAAATTATAGAATAAAATATAACTATACATAATATAATAAATGTTATTTAAAAGTTTTAATGCAATTTGAATAGGCTATAAAAGCGGAAATCATAATGTGTAATTCAATTAAGAAAGTATTCGATTATTGAATAAATTATGTAATTTCAAACGGAAATATGCAAATCCACAAGTAAAATCACAATAGGTTAATAGTCATAACAATAGTTATGAAACATATATAATAATTGAAAATATTTTATGGATTTCACGAGCAGTCCACTGCAGTTTCGAGAGAATAAAAGTGAATCGTGAACACGACTAAAAAAATTAGCGTTTTGAAAGTTGTTATTTAAGATCATGTAATTATACTACGCTTAGATAGTATCGTGTACACGGAGAGCTAGTCAAAATCATATTTCCATCCTTAAATGTTTTCATGCCCGACTCGGTGCCTAAATATGATCGGGCGTCTACTTATCTGACCAAAATTAATAACATATAAATGCGACAAGCTGAATATACCGATTCGTAGCACACTGCGCGCGTCCTTCACATACGGTTTTGCGTTGGAGCAAAAATTTGTCGATAGGTGTTTTTATTTATACTTTTTTTTTTTTAATCAAAACACGGTATCGAATTTAAAACGGTAATAAATTGCGTATGTCGGGTAAAAATATGTTTGGTTGTTAGACAAATTTGTTCAGTAGAGACAGAACTGCACCCTCTCGGTTAATATTATATATATATATACGCGTCGGGCATTTCCCCTTTTACGGCACATAATCCCTCTGCCCCGACTCTGCTGGCTCGCGGCTAGTGTATTTTATTACTTTCACACTGGGCTCAGACAGTGGTCTATATAATTTATGACCATGTTAATTTTCCTTATGTAACAGTTAATAATTACATTAAACAATACACGGGGAAAGAGAGAGAGAAAGGATTAAAAAATAATGCGAGTACACAAATACACATATAAATTTATATACGAATAGATAAATAAGTGTGTATTGTATTGTATACACACACACATGTGAATTATAAATATTAGTATGTTATATGTGTGTATATAAAAATGCATAAAATATATCTTCGGGCGAATAATATAGAGTTATAGCCCGGGACAACTTTAAAATTTCTTTTTCTGGCTACAGCTTATGAATCGGTAAACACAACAAGCGTCATGACCACCTATATTTCTATACAAATATATATATATAAGTATACAAAAGATATATACAATAAATCCTTCTAAAATCACCGTCACATTTTATCACAAAGAAATAGTGACATTCGTATGTATATACAATGCTATTTGCAGATTATAATGGAGGTATGTGTGCAGTATTATAGATATTAATAATGGAATATATAATATAAATTATATATCTATCTTAAAACCTTGACTAATAACATTATATTAATACATTTATATTCTAAAAGTAAATTTCGTATGCTATGGAAAATATAATAAAAATGTCATAAAGCATTATTAGCGTTTATATTTAAAATAAATTATAGTAATGATTTTTCGCTCTCGTGTAAATCGTTTTTTCCGTTAAAGTAACATAGTATATAAGGTTATTTCCGATGTGAAAATTCATTAAATATTCAACCTAGAATTTGTTTTAGAGGTGTTTATACTTCCTGCGACGTATTTTAAAACTAAAAAAATCATAAAAGTAAAATAAGACCACTATATTAAATTTAATTAATTTTAGCAATTTTGTTACTCATTGAAAAAATTCTTAGAGATTGAAAATTTTTACTTGTATCAATAAAATATATGTAGTTTGAAACAAATTTAGAAATAGATAAATTTAAAGACTTAATTAATCTTATAATGTATATTATTCTTAATTATTTAAATTTGTATTTTATGAAATTATATTTATTGGTGTGACTGTAATTTAAAAATCGTAAATTAGCAAGTATTTATGAGCGTTGGTAGGTACTTAAAATTGAAAAGAGCACATTGATTTACTTCGAGATTTATTCTGTAACTAGATTTAGATTTAATCTAAATAAATTATTACCATTTCAAATTATTTAGAATTATATTTAATTTTGTATTGTTGAAATATTTTTCACTATACGAACTTCAACAATGATCATTGACATGAGTGTAATAATAAATTCTTGTGGCTGCTTCAGTGAACCACTCAATTACTATTAGCTTTTTATTTTCTGAATGCATTTATTTTTAACGTAACAATTGTATTATTCTACATTTATACCTAACATATTTTCTGAACTACAATTGAAAGATATGCATGACATTTTATATCCGTTTTGTCATTTGCGTAGGCGTAACAATTCGACCGATTATGTTTTAAACCACGATCTTAGTTTTAATTTAGTTTGTGGGAAATTTCCACCACAATAAAATTGTATATTTTATTTTTTTCAATTATCCTTTGTGAACTCTCATGGGGTTTTGCTGAAACGAATTTTGGCTTATCGACAGTGACGTTTATCCAGAGTCCTGGTGTACCGCAACAGCGAAACGCACGCCTGTGAAATTTAACAATATATTATATTTGTACGATAAATTTGAGTTTACCTCTCCTGCCACTCCTGTACCTTATTGTGGCCGTCAAGTAAAACATGTCAATGAGACCGAATGGTGAATCTGTACGGCAATCTGGTGTAAGCACCGAATAATTCACAAATTCGCCCTGACCTGTACCTTTCAATGCATATTCTATTGAGTCGTATAGAAACATCGTGCAATTTAATTTAACTTTTAATACCAGAGTTTAATTATATTCATTAAAGGATCAAAATGGAAGAAAAAAATCAAATTCGCGGTACTTGGATTTTTTTTTTATCAACGTAGAAATATCACTAATATTTTTTGTTACATGTACCATTCAGAAACAGCACAAAAAACCAAAACCATTTTAATCTCATTCCAGAACTGTATCGAATGTTCTTCTCTGATAAAAATATTTAAATATATGTTGTACATAATTTATTCTACTATAGTTTTTTATATTAATCATAACCAACAATGTATTTATGACAACCGTTACAGTTATGAAATATCAAGCTATTACTGTAAAAAAAAAAAAAAAGAAAAAACAATTGATAAAATTATTTTTAACGCGTGGCAAAATATCGAAAACTAAGGTTCGAAAATTAATCAAATTTTTTTGCTACTCTCATTATATAAAACTTTTCATATATTATTACTACTAGATACAATTAGTGTTCTAAGCATCTATTTATTAAAATAAACGTGCATATGAATGCCCTATTGTAAATATCATACATCATTGTACTATTATACTGAAATAAAATAAAAATTTTACTGAGATTGTAATTAGTCCAATGAGTAAATATTTTTAAGATTTTTAGATAAAAATCAAATACATACGTAATTATAGCATAAAAAAATTGTTCAATTACAAATAATTATTAGGCAATGGTTTATTGATTAAGTAACAGACGTGATCAACGTCATTATAACATTTTATCGATTAATTGATCTCAATGGTAGAACTATAGAATATACACTACTATATTGGAAAAATTTAAATTTTAAATTATTATCATTAAATAATACACACAATTCGAATTCATTAATATTCATATTTGTTTTAAAGGAAAACAATTTATTTTTTAAATTATTATGATTAATATAAATACTAGCATAAATGTTCAACATTTTACTGTATATTACTATTAAGATCGGTCATTTTAATACGTATACATATTAAGAAATTTTATATTCATTGAAAAGTAAAACTTACACTTTACTAAATAATAATAATACAAAGCTCAACAAAATCCAATAAAAAGAATTAAAGGATTATTACAGACACCAATAGGTTTATTATAAAGAATACTTTAGCTGGTTTTTAAGTTGAAAAATGTCGCTATTCAGAATATACAATATATTATAATAATATATACATATCGTATTACCTAATACTTTCATAGTACAATTTTAAATATCGGATCAAAATAATTCAGAATACAATCAATTAAATATTATATCATTAGGTTATTATAACCTCTATAAAACTTTAAGATTTTCACGAAAGTGTAGAAAATGAGTACATAATTAATATAAAACCTATGTACACAAGTAAATCAAAGATTCATTTAAAAGAAAAAGGACACGATTTTAATTATGATAAATTTAAACCCCGAATTAAGTATTCAGTGTTTTTATTGATAAATAATATTTACAAAAACTAACAACTTTCCAACAAAACTTAATATTTATCTTTATATTAAAACTACCTAAAACTATTATGAACAAAACACATAAATCATTAAAGTTTATTATTACCTTCTAATTAACAGAGATCAAAAACTATGTTTGGATCCATATTTATTTTAACAAATTAGAATTTAAAAGTCAATAAAACCTGTAACTTTTCTATCTTCTATCATCCATCTGTTTTTTCGTTTAACATTTGGTTAATAAACCACAAAGAGATAAAAACAATTGCTTAACTGTTTCTGATATATTTGTGGTGTACTAACCTAATAAACCAACAAATCTGTTTAATTTTGTTTAATATTTCTAGGAAATAGCGGCTATATTAATCAATTTTGAAAGACATAACGAATGGCAATCGAAAGAAGTAAAAATAAGGTAAGTTCTACCTCGTAATAAAATACATTTTTTATGATTTATATGCAAATCATAATTCTTGAAAAGGGGTATAATTTGGAAAGGAGGACAGAAATATGCATTTTCTTAATCCTAAAATTTGAAAGTATTTATGAGTCGGCTACCGGGTCCACATAAAGGGCCGTGATACAACATTTCAACATAGTAAATACAAATCATAAAGAGTTAAGACTTGAGATTGATTTTAATATCTTATTAGTAATCTACTATAACTTATAAAATGATCGTAAAAATTCATTAAAATAATGAAATAATAATAATATTAACGGTATTAATATAAATTAAAAAAAATAATCAAATAAAGATTAGTTTGAATAAAAATCTTCTAGTATTGTACTTAGAAAAAAACAATTGATCAAGTGTTTAAAGCAAATTTTTCAAAGTTCATCAAAGACTTAAATATAATTATTTTTTAGCAGTTAGTCTGCAAAAATACCTATATCTTGAAATTTTTAAATTTCTGTGTGATAAATATTTTTTTGATTTTTGAATGAACTATATATAGAAGCTTCAATGTCATAGATAACAAAATCTTTTAAACTAGCAACGTTTTTCTTTCCTTTATCCCTGAACATTTTAATTTTCTCGTAAATTGCCTATTTCTTGATGGTTTTTTACAAAATTATGAGCACTTTAATATTATATAATCAAACTTAAAATTGAATTTCTTAGAGGCAAAGAATTACTTTCAGGTATTTTAAATAATAACAATGATAATGGTTCTTTATTATATTTCAAAAACATTACTCCCACTACTTAAAAGTTAATCTGAAACATTAAAAATAATCACCATCCTTATGACTACACGTTTCCACAGCATCTAATGAACGGTTTCTTTTATCACTTAAACGAATAAAATCATACTTAATTCTAACTATGATTAATGATCGTCTGAATGATTTATTTGTTATTTCTGTAGAAAGTGATAAAACATCAATAGTAAATTTAAATGCAACACTAGAAGCTTTTACAAACATGAAAAATCGACGTTACCCACTGAAATTCTAAAACTACTAATGTTAGATGCTTTAATTATTTTATATTTCAATTGAACATATTACGCATGTATATCATGGCTATTGATTTATTTTGATTTTAATACACAACAATTATTACAAAAATAAAAATTCCTGTCGCTTATAATTGCTTTGAAACTATGGTGTTTAATATATATTTAATTCGCATATTGTTATTAATATTATTGGTATTTTAATATTTAAATTTTTTAGCGTACAGTTAACCGATATAAAACCTAACATTTATATGTTAAAATATGCTAACAAAAACAAATGTAGTTTGCTTAGTAAAAATTACTAAACAATAATCAGTAATAGTTTGATAACTTATCAAAGGCTTTTTTTTAATAAAATTTAACATTTTATTATTATTGTGCCGGTCATTATCATGGTCATCCTCGGCAAATATTGAAATGACACACTCTTGTTAGACCTTGAATAAAAATGTAATAATAGGTATTTTATGTGCATAAAATTGTATAATTTTACTGTTAAATATTGTACAAATAATATTGTACCATATATTGATCAGTTATCAATACATTTGTTTGCATGAAATATTTCTTTATATTTTATCAACCGTTTGTATTAAATCCTCCATAAATTGAAAATACAATGCACGAGTTTAAGTAGCGAAAATAAATTAAATAGTAAATTGAAAAGAGCCTACATGCAAATGTATATATTATCCTGTATTACAATCTTCAGATTACCTACGTATAATACATTTCAAAATAACAGAACCATTTTAAAATAGGTAATCCAACAATATCACGTAAAAGGTCATATTTTCAGACTATTATAGCACTTAATACGTGAGTACTTGATTTGAATCGATTGAGTACTAGGGTTTCCAACATTTTTTTTTCATCACATAATGTATACTGTATTTTTATAGTATATTATAACTACCTAAGTATGTATACGGAACAACCTTACAATAATATGAGTGTTGGAGATGGTTTAGAATGATTTAAATTGTATATAATTGAATTTAGTCTGCTGATAAGTTATGATGAGCGTCCATGAATCATATTAGATTAAGATAGAGCTTAATGATATTGTTTATAATTTTTTTGATATTTGACCTGGTTAATTGTGTAAAATTATATTATCCTTAACTAAATAATGTTGTGTAATTGTAATCAGTGGTCGAATTGGTAGAGAGAGCATAAAGGGATAGAGCTCCTGTACAATATATTTAAATTTAAGGAGCACCTTTACTAATTATTTTCATTAAAATAAGGCTGTATGGGTGGTAAGGTACATATAATTTGCGAAATTATTTTTTTTTAACAAGAACAAACTATATTTTTTAATTATTCATGTATTTAAAAAGTATAATTTAATTATAATTTCAAAAAAGGATTTATTGTATTAATTTAATTAATTGGAGATTTCATTATAAATTTAAATTTATAAAATACAAAATTAAACTAAGTATTTTTTAAAAGAGTGGGAGGAGAAACGCCAAAGGAGAATATAGTATATTACAGTTTTAAGGATCCCTAATTTTATTGGCTCAAGAATTTCTTTCTTTTCTTTTTTAATTTATATACTGGTATTAATGCACAGCGTCGTACTACTTTTATGGTGTATAACTCAATATATATTATGTGTATACACTTATTTTACTTCTATAATGTATATTTTCTTGTTATATCTTGCTATCTAGGTATTCTCTTTCTTGTCATTATTATAATTTTGTTTTTATATAAGCAGCGAAGAAAATGACAGGATATTTGATTGAATTTTGACGTGTCATTTTTCCTTGTATTATATGTTAAAATAAATTATAAAAAACTGAATGAAGTGTTATTTATTTGTTGAAAATATATGTTAAATAGCTTGTGTACAAATGAAACCTTATGTAATCTAAGACTCTAAGGATATTTTGTAAATCTGGCCAAAAAACTAAAAAATAAATAAATAAATAGAATTTTTTCAGGATGAGCTTTTACCATTATTCCGCCAACTGAAAATATTTTATTATATGTGTGGTATACATAAATCACTTTGTCGGGACTGTTCTTTGTGGATGACAGTGTGTGTATGTGTGTGTGTGTGTGCTTGTATATATTTGTGTATATACAATATACGTTTGCAATTTACATCAGTCCGCCAAGAGTGCCTTTTAAAACTTTTACTAAAGCTCTCTTCTGAATTTAAGTTTTTACTGTTTTAGCAGATTTTCTGTATCACAAAATATTTCTAAAATATATTTAAACTGAATCTCTTCTAAATTGTATTCATCCATTGTTTTAATAAATGGCACATAAACAAATAGTCCCATAAAATTTAAATCTATACATAAAAAAAAACATATTTAATATAAAACAATATATGTGTTTAAAGACAAAGAATAAGAATAATTTGAAAACACTAGTAATGTTTAAAGTTCTATACTTAGTCCTACAATTATAATTTAACATCTTGATTCTATTTAATTTTAAAATATTTAAAGCGAACACTATTTCGGCAAATTAGTTTAGCTATTATAAGTGAACTGATTTGATGGTAGTTATTCATACTAATCAGAGAAGTTAGGATAATTTTTATGACTTATTTAAAGAAATTTAAGGTGACGATTCAAACAAATCTACCAATAGTTAATTATTTTATTTTTAAATTAGCCTCTAACCTAAAATATTAGTCATATAATCGTTAGTTTTTGAAATTAAGTGTCATTGTAATATATTTCCATTAGACTACAACAGAGGTCATGCGATGTATCCAATTTCGTAAATACTTAATGTACATAATTTTTGTCAACTACAAGTTGAATAAAATAATATGCTTTAGCGATTACATTTATTATGGAGTAGTTTTAAATAACATTTATTGCGTGAAGAATACAATTTTAAACGCTAAACGTGCTGCATATTATATATATATATATATATATATATATATTATATAAAGACTAATACCTACCTACCAAGTTATAATCTTTATTTAAACTCCTTTGGATATTATCTTCAATTAAGTTTATGTACATTTTTTCATTAACAATTTTTGAAACAAATTTGATAAATATACTGATTTTAGTAACAATAATTTTCCACTTCTGTAATATTGAAAATATTTTATTTAAAATATTTTTAAAAAAAAACGAAGAAACAAAATTGTTAGTTTTTCAGTTATAAGCAATCGAATTTGTTTTTTAGCGCAATATACCAAAAGTTATATTGTTTTTGAAAATGCAATAATTTTCTAAACATTTGATAAAAGAATCTGATAAATTTTGCACTTGATATTTATAGATACTTTTAATAAAAATGCTGAGATGACAACTTAAAAAACAAAAAACAAAATTGTATTGGAATATTTTAAACTATTGATGTGGAGCTTATAAAAATAAAAAATAAAACTACTCGTACATGTGATCTAATTTCATATGCAACTTCAATATTGTATTCCTGCAAGTTGTTATTATTTATTTATTTATTCAACTTTTTTTTTTTTATATTTATATTATTTATTTTCCATATGCCATTATCGGATTAAAATATAGTAGCCTTATAATAAAAATGATAAAGATATTAAATAAACTATAAGATAATTATAAACAAATACTGTGACTTGGTAACTTGTTAAATCACTAAATTACAATCTTATTTCCAGATCTTCCATCCACTTCCTTGCGTTCGTCTCTATTTTATGTGGTTTCTCTAGACTTCCATCAAAATTTGTTTGTGGGCATACATCGATACGATTTTCAGTCAAACATATGTGTCATAGTTGGATTTTAACTAAAATAAACCAAATTCATAAATTTGTTTTTAATGCTTCAGTTCTGCTAACAATGATTTTTGATGATAAGTACTTCTGTGTTTCTGCATGCTCACTCAAGCTAAAATAACCTCATAGGAATGTAAATAGACAAACAGGTAGAAGCAGATGGTCCATATCATAAAGAACACGGCATTGCGATGACTGAATCTT